TGGCATTCCTTCCCCTCCCTGCTTCATTTCCTTGTATTATTAGTGAGATAAACTGCCTGCTGTTGAGATTATTAGGTCCTTCAAGGTCAGAGAAGAACCCTGACTCATGCATCCCACCTCCTTTCTTTCTCTTCCACCTCCAACTTACTGCTGTTTTTTTCCCCCTAAAAGCTTGCAATTAAATCTGTAGAAAAGAGAACTTATTTTTTGTGTTCCTTGATGATTTCACTCTTTCTTAGAACAATTGTTTATCCTTCCTCTCCTCTTTCGTTTGATAGATACTTGAGAATTTACTATTCAGTAATTCATGAATTGGGCAGCATCTCACCTAGAAAAGATAGTTGCACCCAAGGAGTTGTACAAAATGGAAGGTTTGTATAGGCAGAAGAAGGTTGGACAAGAAAGTCAAAAAGAGTGGATTATTTCAGGTTTACCCTCCCTTAAGTGAAGGCAGGGGGTCTTTCAGGTAGATTACTTTACTAGTGCTGACCAGGAAATTTCCAGATTAATTCATTTAAAATGCTACTCCTGGGAGGGCTGACATTACAATTAGGTTAGGTATTATTAACTCTTGTTGGGGCTTGTGATATAATGAAATATATATGAGGGTAAAATTGTAATATTTCCAGAATATCTTGCCTGGCTTTAGGGCATCTGCATATCAACAGGCATTCCTCAGGGGTGGAGACAAGTTCATCTCCATATCAATGGGTAATTACCTGGGTGAGCTAGGGCTTATCTGAACCAGAGAGGTTAGGGGAGGTCTTGTTTGCTTCTGCTGGAGCAGGAAAGAGCTGGCCCCAAACTGCAGTTTGTAAGCAATAAATGGGTTTTAAACTTTATTTCTCCCTTTGACTAATTTTGGTTTTAGAGGTATTTTGCCCTGAAATTTCCTCTCCCTGGAGTTTTTATTTGTATGACCAAATATTTATTTCCCAGGTATATTTGGTCTTCATCCACAGTTCATGAAAACACTATAGAGTCTTAAAGGTGAAATGGGGATTTTGCCATGTTAATGAGAGACTTTCGGACCCCCCCACCCAAGGGCAGGGGCTGGAGGCTCTATCAGCCAATGACCAATAATTTAGTCAATCATGACTATCAGTGAAGCCTTCACAAAACCCCCTGAAAAGAGCTTAGTTCTCTCTCTTCTCTGTTTGGTTGGATTCTGTTTTTCTGTGGGAGAGAGTTTCTATTTTTGGCGAGCCAGAATGCCTCCACGTTCCACCAAGACAGGCCCCAAGCTCCACGAGGATAGAAGCTCCTTTATTTGGGACCTTGCCCTATCTCTTCCTCTGGCTGTTAACTTGTATCCTTTATTAAACTGATAACT